TCCCTCATTTCTAACATTTCTCCTCCATTCAAGCTCTCTTTCTCCTCATCTAGTCTCTTTTTTTCCAACAGATTTTATCCTTCTTTGCTTGAGCAATGAGCAGGGCCAGCAACTTCTTTGCTTGAGCAGTGAGCAGCGGCGTGAGCAGTCCTTCGGCTTCCTTGGTTTCTCCGCTGTAATTTTCCCTCATTTCTACCATTTCTCCCCCATTCAGGCTCTCTTTCTCCTCATCTACTCCCTTTTTTCCAACAGATTTTATCCTTCTTTGCTTGAGGTTGAGCAGTGAGCAAGGCCAGCAAGTAAAGAAGATCAGAGATCAAATTTTATGGCTGGATTTTGGAAGCATTCTCTTCAATTTTTGTGGAAGCAAAATCAAGATTTCAAACGATTTTACTGATGATTTTACTGCTACATCGCGATTTCACGTTCTTATTGCACGATATTATAAAAATCCAATTTTAATATAGATTTTACTCGAAATATATATTTAAAATCATAAAATTTAATGATTTTACAATTTATAATTCGACTTTAACAACCATGCATATAACTTTACATAATATTTTTATAAATTGGACCAAGTTACATTAAATATAACTTATACCATTACTTACACCAGTAATAATACTTTGTATAGTTTATATTTTTTTAATTTAATCATTAAATTTAATGTTCTATTCTCATACTTCATGTATGAAAATTTTCAAATCAATTGGGTAAATTTAACAATTTTATAATTACACTTAATATTTTTATAAATTGGATCAACTTACATTAAATATAACTTATATTGTTACTTACACCAGTAATAATTAATATTTTGTATAGTTTATATTTTTTAAATCAACCATTAAATTTAATATTCTATTCTTATCCTTCATGTATGAAAATTTTCAAATCAATTGGACAAATTTAACAATTTTATAATTACACTTGATTTTTGCCCGTCAAATAAATAATAAAAATCACAATTTCTTTCATTCTTATAGTCATAGATATTTTATCATCATCAAATTTTACATGCATGATCTCAATAAATAAAATATTAAATTTATTGATTGATTTGATAAAATATAAATCATATAAAGAATCATTAACTAATTTAAGTCATTCTATCAGTTACATTATGCAAATTCGATCATCTTAATTTTATTTATATATGACATATGAATAAAAAATTAATTTTTTAACAGGTATATCTTTTTAATAATTTTGTTTGATAAAAATAATACTTTTAATTATAAACTATATATTATGTAAAAATGTTATTTAAATATATACAAATTAATTATAATAACAAATAAGTTGAGGCTAGCTGTGAAAGTATCCAATAAGAGTATGTCAATTTATGAGGCAATCACTCTCAAGGAATAGGCTTCAATTCTCACCACAACCATCATGCAATCTCATCAAGGATCCTATTTGAGCACGTCCACTTTTGATGATCAACACCTTCAGACATTCATAATTTCATACCCATCACTTTTTCTCACTTTTTCTCTTTTGTAACATTTTTCCTCTTTAAACAAATATTGCACATAACATATGATCCATGTTATCTTCAGTGTTGAATAAAAGATAATTGTGTTGGAATTGCAATTTGCTGCAAAATATTTAAGAATTAAAGTGCCAATCCTGTAATCAACACGTTTTTCTGACATTTTGTAAGAGCACGTTAAAAAGAACGAAGTGACATTTTTGTCTGCAGAATAAAAATCGACCCCGAAGAGAACAAATAAAATAAAATTCCTGATTTTAGATTGAAAAATTAGAATTTTTCATTGAACAACAACACTGTTTAGACCGAAGAAAATAAAATAACAATTTAAAGTTTTTCATGAAATGGACATGACGATAGATGTTCTTTAATATGTTTGTCCATCTTTAAGGGGGACCATCTTTTCTATAAAAGGGTTCAGAACTTTATTTGTATTATCATATCACTCCTTAACACGTGTAATTACGAGAGTCTAGAGTTTTAAAATTTTATTGCAATCTTGAGGGATTCCAGAAGGTCCAAGGGCGATGAATTTTTCATGCTTCAGAACACTACTTTTTCTAACATTAAGTTAAAATTTTGAAATGAAAGGAAAAATTTTACTCTCATCGCATTAGAATAATAGATTATTTTTTATTTTATCTTTATATTAAGAATTTAAAAATAATATTTATTTTTATTTATTTTATTATTTAAAAGTAAACAAATAATTGTTTTATAATAGAATGGATAATTAAAATAAAAAAGTAATAATAAGATTAAAATAAAAATATTTATATTATTTAAAATATAAAATAAAACTATTATTATTCAAAAACAAATTTTAAATAAAAAAACAACTATTATTCTAAGACAAAACATAAAGAAAAAGATTATCCTCTATAGCATGCAACTCATGATACCTAAAAGGAATTTAGGTGATGATATGTCATATGTGCGACAACTTATTTATTCAACTTTTTTTTTATTATCTTATAGAAATAAGTAGATACATAGAACATTATAAATTTTAATAAAATAAAAAAATGTTAATTATTAAATAACATATTGGTAATATGAAAAAATTATATATTAAAATTGTCTATAAAT